CCCTTCTCTCTCTTTCTTTCCCTCCTTCTTTCCTTCTCTTTCTTTTTCTTTCCTTCCTTCTTTCCTTCTCTTTCTTTGACTCTTTCCTTCCTTTGTTCCTTCTCTCTATCCTCTCTCTCTCTCTTTCCTTCCCTCTTCCCTCCTTCTGTGGCCCAACTCTAGTGAGAAGGGGTTTAAACTTTAAACCCCTTCTCTCTCCGCTTCCCCCCCCCCCAGGGAAGGGAAGGGGAAGCTTTTGAAGATGCCTCCCCCCCCTTTTGCTTCCCCTTCTGACATCTCTTTCCGTGATGTCAGGGGGCGTTGCATATGCTAATGAGCTATTATGCTAATAGCCTAGTAGCTCATTAGCATACCATATGCTAATGAGCTCCTGCAGCTCTTTTTCTACGAAAAGACCCCTGAGCCCTACCATTGTGCTAGGTGCTGTCCGAAACATGGAAGTGAGCCAGAGGTTTTACAATTAGGTCCGCAAATGGATTTAAATAATTTCTATTTGAGTAAATCATCTGCCTTTCGGCAAATTGATCTGTTTAATTGTTTTAATTCACTTTATATTAGCATGTTAATAAAATCTTCATATGCAGGCTTTTGGTTTTGAGACATTAAAGGAAGTGGGTGATAACTTGGAGTTTAATAATCAACATACACTACTCAGCTGAAAGGACCTTCTTTAATTAATTTTCTCCTCTTTTTTTTTGTTCCCCGACACAGATTTCTTTGCTATTTAAAATTGACTCCCACTGTTAGATCTACTTAATCTTAAATCTAGTGATTTAACTAATCTGATTGGAATTCATAGTCCCACCATACAATCTGTATTAGATGGTCTTCTGGCACTTGACAAACTGGATGATCTGGCCAGACTGCATTAGGTTACAGTCTTGCTCTTCATGGGGCTGCCTTTGAAGATTGTTCAGGAGCTTCAGCTGTTCAAAATGTGGTGTGGTTACACACCAACAGTCATTGTGGGGATCTAGAAGACTTCACTGCCTGCCAATCTGTTTCCAGCAGGCTCAATTCAAAGTGCTGGGTGTTATCTGTAGAGCCCTAAATGGCCTGACTCGTACCTTTGAGGAGCAGCTTTCTCCCACATATGGTTGCCACCCTCCAGGAGGGGTTTGGAGATATACCAGAATTACAACTGATGGCCAGACTACAGAGATCAGTTTCCCTGGAGAACATGGCTGCTTTGGAAAGTGGACTCTATGGCATTATACCTCAGTGAGGTTCCTCCTGTCCTCCAACCTCATCTTTCCCAGGCTTCATCCCCAAATCTCCAGATATTTTCCAACCCAAATTTGGCAATGCTGCATCCACATGAACCCATTAGATAATTAAGACTGACTTCAGAAGTTCTATTTTGTGATTCCTGTGGTTTCATCTGTAGTAAGCACCACAGTTGGGAGTTTTCCCATTGTGTGGTAAAAACTTGGAGTACTGAAGAGTTCTCTCTACATAAATTCACCTGACAACCTTCCAGTTATCTTTTAGCTGCCAGGCAAAGGTACTGGTACTCATCTAAGCCTCTTGTTCAGTCATTCTTTTAACATTTTATATATTGTTTTAATGTTTTAAAAGGATGCTGTGAGCCAGCTTAGAAGCATTCTCATTATAAACTGAACTTTACTATTCACCCTTTCTTGAGTCTCCTTTCAACAAAGGCTTGTGGACTCCAAATCAAGTGGGCCTCCAATTTAAAGGAAATAGACTTGAGGCACAGGACTCCATCAGAAGTGTGTGTGAGAGTGTTACAGGGTCTAAGATTGCCAGTGGTTCCCTTGAAAAGTGCTTGCATGCCTCGTCTAGAGTGCGCTATTTGTAGCAGCCAGCTTTCACAGAAAAATGAAGATGGGTGTCCTTTGAATTTTTCTATCTCTCTTTGCTCTTCATTTATTTATTTATTTATTTATTTATTTATTATTTATATTTATATCCCGCCTTTCCAGATATCTGGCTCAAGGCGGCTAACAACATTAAAATGGCATAAACAACCAAGTTAAAATTAATCAATACCATACCAGTTAAAACAACACCAGTTGCAATTAACCCAACAGAAATGGCGGTAATCCAAATCCCATCCAAAGACAGGGGTAGCGTCCAGCAGAATCTCAGGCCCGAGGGCGTTCTAAAATTTCAGACCAGACGATGTTCCAGGGCACACTCATCAGTGGCAGCCCCTAGTCGAAAGCCTGGTGGAAGAGCTCCATTTTACAGGCCCTGCGGAACTGTAAAAGGTCCCGCAGGGCCCTGATGTTCTTCGGGAGCTCATTCCACCAGGTTGGGGCCGCCACTGAGAAAGCCCTGGCTCTGGTGACATTTAGCCTGGCTTTTCGGACCAGGGAGGGTCAGGCAATGTTGCGACCTTGACCGCAGTGCTCTCTGGGGCAGGTGTGTTTAGCTTGCCAAAAATAAGGTGTGAGGCTGACTCATGCGGCTAAGAGATCCAAACAACTGCCCTTGGCTTTCAAGACCTCTCAAACTGTTCACCCTTCTTCCTGCTAGGTGAATCTCCTGTCAATAAAGATGCTGTTCTCTGGAGATGTGCAAAAGAGCCCATAACAGCATCTTTCTTTCATTTGCCTGAAGTCTTTCACTAGACAACAGAGGATGACATTTGAGTATGTCTTCTTTCGCCCAGATAGGTTAGTGATCAGCTGGTCTACAAGTCCTGTCTGACCAAATGCCATTACATTGGTTTCCTTTTATGGATATTATGGGTCCAGCTCAGGATGGAATGTTGCACTAAACGCACAGTACCTACTTTGGAGCCAGAAGGAAGGATTTCAGTAAAGCTTTTGACAGGATTCCCCATGATGTTCTGATGGGTAAACTAGAGGACTGTGGACTGGACTCTGGGATAGTTAGGTGCAGGGCTCTTTTTGTAGAAAAAGCCCAGCAGGAACTCATTAGCATAATAGGTCACACCCAGCAGCAGAAATTCATTAGCATATTAGGCTACACCCCTGACAGCACAGCTCATTAGCACATTAGGCTATGTTACCAGAAGTGCGGTTATCCAGCCACACCCACCTTTTGCTTGTTATTCTGTTTACCTTGTTTGTTGTCAAAACCCAGGGCTTTTTTTGTAGCAGGAACTCCTTTGCATGTTAGGCCACACACCCCTAATGTAGCCAATCCTAATGAGTTTCTGCTGTTGGGTGTGGCCTATTATGCTAATGAGTTCCTGCTGGGTGTGGCCAACTTGGGAGCCAGCCGGAACTCCGTTCCTGTGCGTTCCTGCCCAAAAATAGCCCTGGGTGGATTGGGAACTAGTTGGAGAACTGCACTCAAAGAGTAGTTGTCAATGGTATTTCATCTGAATGGAGGGAGGTGTGTGGTGCCACAGGGCTTGGTTCTGGGCCCGGTACTTTTCAATATTTTTATAAATGATCTGGATGTGGGTGTGGAATGGCTACTCATTAAATGATCTGGATGTGGGTGTGGAATGGCTACCTGAGGGACCGCCTTTCCCCGTATGTTCCCCCAAGAGCTCTATGGTCGGGGCCCCAAAACCTTCTAACTGTGCCGGGCCCCAAGGATGCTAAATACAGGGTTCCCCAAGATGTTCTGATGGGTAAACTAAAGGACAGTGGACTGGAATGTAGGATAGTAAGGTGGGTAGGGAACTGGTTGCACTCAGAGAGTAGTTGTTAATGAAATTTCATCTGAATGGAGGGGGGGTGTTCGCTGGGGTGCCACAGGGCTTGGTTCTGGGCCCGGTACTTTTCAAAATTTTTATAAATGATCTGGATGAGGTTGTGGAGGGGGCTACACATTAAATTTGAAACTATAAATAAATAAATAAATAAATTTGCAGATGACACCAAATAGGGAGGAGCAGTGAACACACCAGCAGATAGAGATAGAATTCAATGAAATCTGAACACACTGGGAAAGCGGGCGGGTGTGAATTTACAATGCAATTTAACAAGGATAAGTGCCGTGTTCTACATCTGGGTAACGAAAATGAGGAACATGCATACTGGATGGGGGATACACTTCTGGGTAGCAGAGTGTGTGAACAAGATCTTGGGGTACGGGAGGACCGTAAGTTAAATATGAGCAGCCAGTGTGATGCGGCAACAAAAAAGGCTAATGGGATCTTAGGGTGTATCAACAGAGGCATAACATCCAAATTGCAAGATGTCATAGTCCCACTGTTGGGCCACACCTGGTGTATTGTGTGCAGTTCTGGAGGCCTCACTTCATAAACGATGAGGACAGAATGGAGTGGGTGCAGAGGAGAGCAACGAGGATGATGGCGGACCTGGAGACCAAGGCCTATGAGGAAAGGCTAAGGGACTTGGGAATATTCAGTCTGGAGAAGAGGAGGTTGAGGGGGACATGATTGCTCTTTTTAAGTATTTGAGGGGCTGTCACTTAGAGAAGGGCAGGTAGCTTCTATGATTTTATGATAAAGTGCCCAGTAAAGAACAGCTTTCCTTATTACAATGTACACGCTTATGCTAATAGCTTCAGATTTAGTGCCTTCCATGTTGTCATCTTTGCTGAGGATGTCAGAGTAGATGGAACCATGCTTTTTTCTTGATTTGATGCCGGTAAAAAAAGAAAGAAAGCATGTATATTCCCCAGTCTGTTGCTTGGTTACAGCAGGTATGGAAAAATAATAATTACAGTGGTGAAAGCACTAACCCATATAATTTGATTGGATGATCATCTACAGTCATGATTCTTCTATGTTGTGGTTGTTTGTCTGTTTCTAGATTGTATGTCAAGACACTGCCCCTTTGAAGATGTTCTTCTTCAGCCCTCCGGATTACCTAACCTTAACAAGACATTCATTTGGGATGTTAAAGCTGGTAGGAAAGATGCACTAGTACTGAAGTTTGCGACATGGCTAAGACAGGTGGAACCTGGAGACGCTTGCCACGATCAAGTTGTTTATAACATCGGCAGCCGTTTTGACACCAACACAGTCAACATTGGATTTTTCTGCAGAAATGGTCCCGTTTCTCGGGTGAAGGTGCAAGGGGAAGTAATCGTGACCCTACAGCTTCCTTGGGATTCGAAACTTAACACTTCTGGCTTTAAGATAGAAAGCAGGGATTCCATAAAAAGTAAGTGCCGAAGGTGGTGAGTGTAGATATGTAAAATTTCTAGAAATGTTGAAGCTGTGGAAAACAAACATTTTTCCTAGTTTCTCCTTGGGGGAGAAAAATGGAAATCTTGAGAAAAATCGAAATATGTGCAATAATTACTTTTATATCAAACCATAACTGCTTTTACTTATTTAACAACATAAATAAGTAACAGGTGATAGACCTGTCTCTTTGGCCTGCTTCTACTGGCTAAATCCAGTTAAGTGTGTGTGTCTGCGAGAGCGAATTCCCCTCCGTTAACAAAATCATTTGGATTTATTGGTTAGGGCTGTACATAACTTGAGAATCAGGCGTAAGGGGCTCAGGAGGCCTTCTGCAATGCAATCAACTTCTAGTGCTAGCAAATTCTTCCTTTTCAAATGCTGTCTCTCCTCTTTTTTTTTTTAAATAGGATTGTGCATTATAGAATCAATGTTTCTGAGTGAATCATCTGTAACCTTGATGTCTGCCAACTATCCCTCGGGCTTCCCAGAAGATGAGCTCATGACGTGGCAGTTTATCGTGCCACCTAGTTTGAGGGCCAGCGTCTTCTTCCTCAACCACACCAAACCAAATTGTGAACGGAAAGAACAGAGACTGGAGTACCTCTTACCTGGATATGATAACCCTGAGGTGTATTCACTGAATGATGCACAGCCAATGAGTATTCCTGGTAACTTCAGCCTTTCCTTGCAAGGCTGTGATCAAGATGATCAGAACCCTGAGGCTCTTCGCCTGCTCTTTAAAGTTGATGTTCACTACCCTAAAAATGAGGAAAGTAAGTGTCTTCCTTTTCCTTCCTCTCTTCCATACATCTTGTCTTTGGTTTGAATTCTGAAATTTTGACTTTCAGAATTTTTTAATTAACGGACTCGCTGGATAGGTTCAGAGAGCTAATGCCAAATCATGGTTTGGCAGTATGAGAAGAATGCTGAAAGGAGCCTCAGGCTCACTTGAATAGTTTCCCGCCCTTTTTCTCTCTTTGTGTGGGGTAAGAATATTTAGTAACTTCCAAGTCTGTGGTACATCCTTTGCTATTGCATCTGCATGTGCAGATATGAACAAACCACTCTATGGACTCTTGGTTTAAAAGGCAAGTACAAATCCTATTTTGCATATTTATGATAAAGTATGGTTTATCTCAACCCCCAAATAATTCATTGTTTTCTTCATGGCTGGAGAAGGGGAAGCAAGGATCCCCTACGCTCACTCATCTAGTAGCCAACTATGGTTTGCTGTTATCTATGGACTAGGGATGGGCACGAACTGGGAAAATTATGGTTTGTGGTGGTTCGTGGTTCATTCAGTTGGTGAGTTTGGGAGGTGGTAGAACAGCCTCCTCATGAGTTAGAGTCGCCAAACTCACAGGGAGTCTTCAGCAGGCTCTCCTCCACCCACCCTCCAAGTTTGGTAAAGACTGGATGCCTGAGTTATAGCCCCCCCCAAAGCAGGTGCCCCCAGGAAAGCTCAGCTGTAGCCTCCCCTTAAATCAGCCACGCAGCAAGCAGTTCTTCCTAACTCGCTGCCACACAACAACTAACTCCTCTCTCTTCCTGCTGCAAAGTGAAAGCAGCTGAGTCAGGGTGTGGTATGTATGTGAGCAGAATGGGAGCTCCGTGTTTGGCACCCAGAGCTGCCAAACAAGCTATGGACAGCTGCTGTGGGTGTTTCTAGGGCTCTCCACAAGTCCGCCCCAGCATTGCCTAGGAATTGATTGAATCGCTGTCTGGCAAATGAACGACTCTAACGAACCAAATGAACCTCCACGGGGAAAAGGCAGTTTGTTTTTGGATTCGGGAACAATGCAACCAAACAAACCAGTTCTAAACAAACCACGAACTGGCCTGGTTTGTGCTCAAACCACGGTTCGTTTCTCAGTTTGTGCCCATCCCTAATATGAACTAAGGCAATGACATGAAGTGTTCCTGAAGGCTAGGCAGCAATGGCTAATGCAAATTTCTTGTGGACTTTATAGATCAAGCAAATAGATGGAGGTTGTGTTTCACTGAAATAGATACACAAAGGTACACAAAGGTACACAAATGGAAATCTTTAAATACAAACGTTGCATCAGTCATTCTGTATAACAATTAGGACAATTGTACAAGTATGAACATGAGGGAGGGCTGATGTGATGGATTAAACATTGGGCACAGTTATGGCAGGTCTGTGTTTAAAATCTTGCATAGTATAATTAATTTTACAGGATTACAGTGTAGGTAGATAATACAATAATTTGTAAAGCAGTATTTGTGCATTTAGTGTGATTATGATGAGTAATTATGATGAGTCATGATGAGATCCAGTTTGGTGTAGTGGTTAAGTGCCCAGACTGATCTGGGAGAACCGGGTTTGATTCCCCACTGCTCCACTTGTAGCTGCTGAATTACCTTGGGCAAGCCATAGTTCTGTCAAAGCAGTTCTCTCAAGGACAGTTCTCTCAAGGACAGGCACTTTACAGGGTGCCTGTTGTGGGGAGGGGAAGAAGTTTGTAAGCCACTCTGAGACTCCGAGTGAAGGGTGGGGTATAAATCCAATCTCCTATTCCTCCTCCTTGTTCTTCAGCTTGGTCATTTGAATCTGTCCTATAACTTTCAAATATACCAGAAACACTACGTAAGAGAAACTACAACCAGTGTGAGCCACTGCAGGCTTCCACACTCCTGAAGTGACTGGAGATAGAGCCAAGAGCCAGAATCCCAATATCCTAATCTGTATTTTAACAGCAGTCAGTTAGAAGGCTCTCTTTTCCACTGTCCACTCCATCTCCTTTCTCCTTCTGAGTGTTCGGAGAGCACTGTACATTGGCTGTTGTAACTGATGTAACTTTCACTCATTTTGTGTTCAAAAATTTTATTGCGACAGGCACAAAAGAACTAAATAAACTTTCCTACAGTGCATTCTTCTGTAAACCATCTTAAATCCTGAAACATCACTACTAATGTGTTTCTCTTTCTAAGAGCATCATAATGCACCACAACTCTTTAAATGACATGTTGGCTCTCCTTTCATTTCCAGATGTATCCTTCACGATTGACCTTAGGCATGATGACATTAATGTTACAATTTATACAAACTCACCACAGTCCGGATCCCATTCGGAGAATAAACCTGCGTGCTTAATCTGCAGAAGTTCTAGACACTGTGGACCCAACGTGACGTTAGCATCTGGAGACTCGTCTTCGATAACCATTCTGTGCCGCAAAAAGGATGTACCCAACAATGTAAAGATGATTGCTGAAAAATCTCTAGGTATAAGGGAGATATCCTAAATTTCTTTATACGAAAGACATTTGACAAAAAATGTATTTCTCTGTAGAGTCACTTCCCCTTGTCAGTACTGTCTCTGTCTTTCAGGCCCCCTTCGCAATGTCATTTTAACCCGGTTGTTATCTGTTTCCGTGCAAAGCAATGTGGGGATAGACCTTGGGTCAGTCGCAAGCTCTGGCATAGCTGTTCTTGAAAAAGAGCAGTTTCTGTCAGAGTTCTCTCAGCCCCACCCACCTCACAGGGCGTCTGTTGTGGGGAGGGGAAGGGAAAGGAGTTTGTAAGCCGCTCTGAGACTCCCTCGGGTAGTGAAGGGCGGGATATAAATCCAATCTCTTCTTCTTTTTCTTCAAACAGAATTTTTACATCCATTTATGAACCATAGCTGAAGTGATTTATCCATTTCAGGCTGCTTTTTGTCCCCCCACGTTCTATTCTGCATTTTTTTAACATTCTAGTTTTTGCACTGTAGACTAATATAGCAGTGCAGTGCTATAATGCCAGCATTCAAATGCTTGCAGCTGTCAAGCTACATAGAAACAAGTCAGTCTCTTTGTGCATATATATATGTGTGTATATGAGTGTGTGTCCAGTGATGTTGTTACACTTTGAGGGGAACTGAGGCAGTGTGGTGTTGCAGTTAAAGTGTCTGTCGGATATGGAAAATCCTGGTTCGAATCCCCACTTGTGCCATGGAAACTCACTGGATGAACTTGGGCCAGTTACACACTCTCAGCCTAACCTACTTCAGAGGGTTGTGAGGATAAAATGAAGGAAAGGAGAATGATGTCAGCTGCTTTGGGTCCCTATTAGGGTGAAAGACAGGATATAAATAAATAAAGTAAATGAGTCTGTTGCCATATTGAATGCTGAGGTTTCTGGGTGCCTTCATAGATTGCTTCTCTGTCTTGCACATAGACTGATAATTATCTCCCAGGTTCTTGTGAGAACATTGTGAGCTCATAGTTGTGAGTGAAGGCCCAAAGTATTATGGACAGAGAGACTGGAAAGCAGCCCAAAGTCTCTGTCACTGTTTCTGAATGTGCTTGGCAAGTTAGTGGAAGACTCTTCATCAAGAGCGTAATCAATCTAGTGGCTGGAGTAGTAAGCCTTGAAAGAAATAATAGCACCTGTGGGGGAAATAATATGCCTTGTGGATGGTAAAGGCTCAGAACAAAGCCGTCTTCTAAGAACATCTGAAAAAACTGTTTGGTCGCCCAACTCATTGGGAGTTTATACTTGCACTCGGAAAGGCTGTGTCTAAAGGGTGATTGAATACTGGGAGACAAGCTTGTTCTTTCTAACAGCAAGTTACATATGTAACATAACTAAATCATCATACACTTAACTAGTTCTTAATTTATACTAATCTGGGTCAGGAGAGGGGAGTATAGGTTCACTAAAACTGTTCTTATCAAAGTACATAAGAACGCAAGAAAATAAGAGAAGCCAATGTTGGATCAGGCTAATGGCTCATCAACACTCTGTCTCACAGTGGCCAAAAATATCAGGTGTGCTTATCTAATTCCCTCTTGAAGTCATCCATGCTTGTAGCCGCCACCACCTCCTGTGGCAGTGAATTCCATGTGTTAATCACTCTTTGGGTGAAGAAGTACTTCCTTTTATCTGTTCTAACCCAACTGCTCAGCAATTTCATTGAGTGCCCATGAGTTCTTGTATTGTGAGAAGTGAAGAAAGGTACTTCTTTCTCTACCTGTACGGTAAGTACTGTGATGGAGTTAACCTTCTCTAGTTTGGTGTAGTGGTTATGATTGTGAACTCTAATTTGGGAGAACTGGGTTTGATTCCCCACTCCTCCACATGCAGCTGCTGGTGTGACCTTGGGTCAGTCATAAATTCTTTCAGAGCTGTTCTCTCAAGGGCAGTTCTTGAGAGAGCTCTCTCAGTCCCACCTACTTCGCAGGGTTTCTGTTGGGGGGGGGGAAGGAAGGGAAGGGGTTTGTAAGCGCTTTCCTTTGGGTAGTGATGGGTGGGGTATAAATCCAATCTCCTTCTCCTGATTCTTCTGATTCTAATGGCAAAGGTGTATGGAGCTGGTATAGTACTGGGAAGAATTATGGGAGTTCGGAACTGACTCTTCATCTGTAGTATGGAAATGATTGTAACAGTGGTTTTCTTTTACAGTATTGGGGGTTTACAAACCCACAAAATAATAGTAGTGCCTTCTAGGGTTGCCAACCACCAGGTGGGGGTTGGGGGTCTCCTGGGATTACACCTGATCTCCAGTTCCCCTGGAGAACATGGCTGCATTGGAAGGAGGACTGTATGGCATTATATCTCACTGAAGTCCCTCCCCTCCAAAAATCCCATCCTCCTCAGTCTCCACCCCCAAGGTCTGCAGGGTTTTCCCACTCCAAAGCTGGCAACCCTAGTCCCTGTACCTTTAGGAAATGAATGCCCTTGAAGATCTCAGTGGCCACTGAAGGTTGCTAAGCGATCAGGCCTTGCTAGCTTTCAAGCCTTTCTTCCTGTCAGTCAAGGGCAAGGAGGAGGGGCAGGTCAGTAATCTTCCACACACACCCCAGACCAGACCCCACAACTATATTAAATATAAACTTTTTAAAAAATATTATCCATTTAACACTAAATAGCAGTGAGAAATATAAGCAAAAATGTTCTGTGGTGCCCCCCTTCCCTTGGCGCCCTAAGCACATGCTTATTTTGCTCAACAGTTAAACTGGGGGAGGCAGGGCTCTTTCCAGAGTAATTTTGGCCTCCCAGTCTACCCAGCTCCCCTGCCCTGGAGGGAAGACTCACCAGGGCCAGGCCTGGCAGTCACCATCTGGCAACTTGTTGCTGTTCCAGCAGCCACTGTGTGAAAGACAGTGTGGTGTAGTGGTAAGAGTTTCAGATTGGGATCTGGAAAATGCACATTTGAATCCCCACTCTTAGGTTTACCATTTGCCTGCCTGCAATGGATAAGCCTTTGCTCCTGCCCTTCACCGCCTGCATTTGAACAGTGGGGCAGCAGCATTTGCAGCACTCTAGGAATTTCCCAGATCTCTGTGGTTTTTACCCTTACCCTTTCTAGGGCTGTTTTGGCCTCCTAGTTCACTCATGCTCTCCTCCCAGCATTTGAGTTATAAAAACCAGGGCTTGAAGTCTTAGTGATATTGTGGTTGCCTAGCAGTGCCCCAAATGACCAACAAGATCTTAAAAAATAGTCTTGTGGGAGTGTAGTGAGCATTCTTTTATTAAAGCTATACATGCTGTTCCTATTATTTTGATGAGTTTTAATTCCTCAATCAATCATTTACTTATTTTTTAGATTTCTGGGATTTTTTTTCGGGTTAGTAGACCAATCTCCCGTCTGTCCTGGCTCCATTGTGTGGATCTTTTAATCCACACTCTGATCCAGTTCAGAATGAAATATAAGATTTAGTGTGCACATGTATATGTATGACATTTGCTGGTGTTAACACCTTTAGCATGTAATTTCTCTTTTTTCTTATGCTTGAGCAGAAAGGGAGGCTTGAGCAGGATAATATGAACACACATTTTGTGAAACTCATTTGGAGTGAAAAATTATGACCACAATCCAGGGAGTATGTCTAAGAGTACACTTTCGGGAGTTTGCCCCCTTCCCCTTTTAAATCACACTTTTTGCACACACAGTTTTCAAAACTTCTTGGGGTTACAGGAGTAGGTTGTTCTATGAGGAATGCCTCTTTAGACTTTCCCATCAAGCCATAGGCAATGTTCCCTCTAATTTGTGGAGTCCTGTGAGCAAAAATTCTACTTTGTGAGCTACTCGCATTAAAGTTGTGAGTGAGCGATTGGACTACTGCATTAATTAGTTTGCTCTGGAGCCATCCTTCCTGAGCTAAGACAAAAATGTGTGAGCTGTGAGTTAAAAAACACTGAGCTAGCTCACACTGACTCAGCTTAGAGGGAACTGTTATGTATTCATACGGACTTGAATGCATGAACTGTATGAGACTGAATGTAATGTGAAACATCTCATTGACTTGTAATGTAAAGCTTCGTCCTGGGCTAGGATCCTAATGTAACCAATAGGAGCACTAGCCCAGGAAGCAACATCCAATCACTTCAGAACAAGCTCCCTGAGCGGGAACGTTCGTGATTGGCTTTTATTGGTTCAACCGCATTGGTTGTTAATTGTACAGTAGGCGTGGCTACATTAGCCGGGAATGTTTAAAAGCAGAGCAGCTGCAATGTAAAAGCTGTTCTGGCTGACTGATGTTGTACTGTGTTGGAGAAGTATTGAAGCTGAAGAATAAAAGCCGCATTCTTGCTGAAATCACTCTCTGACTCTTTGTTAAGCTCACGAATTAACAGGAACACTGGCCATGGGTCATGTGTTGCTACTAGGCTGCTTGCCTGACTTGAACTGACCTGATCTGTGTTTGTGTCTGTTTGGTTACAGCCTGTTGGAAATCCAGGACCTGTCAAAACAGAGTGTTTCCTGTAGCTGTACCAAAGGCTCTTCTTGGGTTGCCAGTCCCACTTGACATGTTTTTCTGGAAAATTACAGCACCTGAAGACACCAACATAGAACTGAGGGCTCCAGCCTTGAAACTACAGCAACATATCCCCAACCAACAACACAAATGCACTGGAAGTTACAGTTATGCCATTAATGGGACCACCCCAGGGAAAATCTTAACATTTGGTATATACTGTCCAGGGGGAGCCATTGAAAAAATCCAGATAAGGAACAACGTCACCATAAGCCTGAAGACATTTGGGACAGGTTTTGATGAAGCTGTTCGTAATCAGGACCTGAAGTTGGTTTTTGTGCCAGCAATAAAAGGTAAGTGCATTTCCCTTGTATTGAGGGTTGCTGGGAAATTCCTGGAGATTTTGGGGGGGTGGAGCCTGGGGAGGGGAGGGGCCTTCAGTGGGGCACAAGGCCACGGAGTCCACCTTCCAAGGAAGCTGTTTTCTCCAGAGGAACCGGTCTTGGTCATTTGGGAATCAACTGTAATCGCTGAGATCTCCAGGTGCCCCCTGGAGGGTGGCAACCAGTGTTCCCTCTAAGCTGAGTCAGTGTGAGCCAGCTCACAGTTTTTTAGCCTCCAGCTCACACATTTTTGTCTTTGCTCAGGAAA